CCAGCGAGCGAGGCCTGACAAAACGGTGACAACTGGGAGCCGAGGGCCGGCGGACCCCCGCAAGCGCGGAGCGGGGCACGGGAGAGGAAGGGCCTCCTCGACACGGACGGACGGGACCGTCGAACCGGATGGCGGCCAGGCGGCACACCAGCCCCCCGCACCACGCGGGATCTCACCGCCAGCACCCTCCAGGCGCAAGGGCGGTCCCGCATGGGGGGAGGGGAGGCGCCAGGCACAGCCACACAGCCGGGGACACGCCACCGCGCGACTCGGCCACCCCTCACACGCACACACCGCCTCCGACGATGGGGGTGAACGCCAGGCCCCGCAGCACCACAGGCCACACCGTCGCAGCCATCTGACCCCCGACCCCAAAGAGGGCTCGCCGGCGCACGCAAGCGACACGAGGCCGCAGCGGGCCGCGAGGGGGCCACCTGCGGGGGCATGGCATCAGACCGCGGGGGGAGAGGCGCCAGAGGCGCGACGGGGAGCCGCGGGGAACACCTCGGGCCAACAAAAGCCGGGTCCTCCCGGAAAACGGACACGGGATGCCACCGCCACACGCCCGCGCGGTCCCGTGGCACGCCTGGGACGCCGGCAGCCCGCCTCCAGCGACCCCACGCGTTCCCCGACGCGCACCTGAGGCCCCCCACCGGGGCCCACAATGCGACACACCGCCAACGCTCTCGACACCGGGCACCTACTGCCACCGGCTTCCTGGGGTCTCCATCCACCAACATCCGAGCCCCCGGCCCCGGGGGCCGCCACCCCGCGGGAACGCTCCCAAAGCCGATGCGGCCGAGGGGAGACCCAACGGGCCCAAACCCGTGGCCCCGCCGCCGCCACCCTCGCCGGCGGCGACCGGCCAGCGGGCCGCGGACAGCCCAGGGCGGGAAGCGAGCAGAGAGCCACCCCACGCCAGGGCCACAGGGGCAGCGCGGGACAAGCCACACGCAACCCCAGGGGCCCCGGGTGGTAAGCGGAAGGCCAGACAACACCAGAGGCATGCGAGCGACCGCAGGGCCCCTCCGTCGGGCCCGTAAGGCAACGGGACGCCCGGCCCTGGCCCAGCGGGACCCTCCCCCGACACGGGGGGAGGCGCGGGCCACGGCAAGGTAGAGGCGCGAGAGGCAGCGTCCGGCCCCCAGCGGAAGGGGCCGGGAAGAACGAGCGACCATCGCCACCTAACGCACAACAACCCAAGCCATCCGCGTCGTCAGCAGCGTGGCTACCGACACGCACCAGGAAGAGGAAGGAACGGCGCGGCAAGCGGGGGATACGGCACCCCATCACGTAGGCACGTCCCTCTCGGATCGCTAGAGAAGGCTTTTCTCACCGAAGGCGAGCCGCACCCCGCCAGCCCCCACGTGCGCCTCTCACCGGGCACAAAGGGCCCCAACACCAAGGGAGCATCAACCCAACCCGGGGGACGAGCCCGAGGATGGGCGGAGGGGTCTGCGGCACAGGTAAGGAAGTCACCTGCCCCCCCACGGACGCGCAGGGGGCACCAGAGGCCGGCCGGGCGAGGCCACGGGCCGTGGCAGCAGCAGCCGGTGCTGCGCCCAACGCTTCCTTTTCCTCACCACCTCGACCCCCCAGAGGCTCCCGCACACCAGGCAGCACACACCAGCGAGGAGGCTGCAGCGGCACACCCGGGAGAGCGCACGCTGGGGTGGCAAGGGAGCGACACCACCACTCGGTTCCAGGCGCCTGAAAGGCAAACGACCCGGACCGCTCCAGGAGCACCGCACAGAGCCGAGCAGAGCCGGACTCTGCCGGACGAGCCCCACACCACCGCGGGAGGGGGCCCGCCCACGCCGTGACACGCCGGCACGGCAGAGGGCGAAGGGTGTCCGCCACGTCCGAGGACCCCCGCCCGGACCCCCACACCAGCGCACCTCCAGGCGGCACGAGGCAGAGGGAGCGGAGATCGAGCCGGGTTCCGCACCCCTGGCCTCTCCCACCACACCGAGGCAGGGGAAAGAGGAACCAGGAGCCCGCAAGACAGAACGAGAAGCTCGGCAGCATTCGCCATGAACGGCCGTCCCTCGTCTGTAAGCGGCTTAGGCCCAGCGAGGTGAACGGAGGAGGAGGGATAGGCCAGGGCGAGGGAGCGGAGCCAGGAGGAGAAGCGGCGGGGCGGGGCCGGCCGAGGCCGACCACACCCAGCCCCGACTCCCCACGGGCCCACCACCCCGACCCCGAGGTGGATGGGCACAGGCCCCCGGGGGTCTTTAAACCTCCGCGCCGGAACGCGCTAGGTACCTGGAGCAAGAGAGCCAGAGGAGAGGCGAGGACAGGACACACGCGGCCGGGGCCGGAGGTAGCGGGGCAAGCGGGGCCGCCGTGGGCCCGCGGCACGGCGAGGCCAGGCGAGGGTCAGGACGCACGGGGCTGAGGTCGCCGCACGCCCCCCCCCCCGCGGGGCTCGGCCGCCACGCCCCCGGACCTCCAGAGGGCGGGGACCAGGGGTTCGAGACGGGCACGCCGGAGCCAACCCACGGAGGCACGCACGGCACGCCGCCGGCACCGCCAACACCTCAGCAAGCCAGGCCCGCGAGCCACGGGCCCCACAGGCACGGCAACAACCGCCGCCCGCTCCCTCCGACGCGCGACACGCGCCGCCCGCCCTTCCGCTCCCCGGCAGGCACAGGCAACGAGACAACACACGGCGGGAGGGGGAAAAGAGAGAAGCTGCTGCACCCCCGACCGAGGGCGGGGAGGGGAAAAGGGGGAGCGAGGGACGCACGGCAGCAGCAACGAGGACCAGCCGGCCAGCCGCGCTTGCCGTTGGTGCCCCAGACCCCGACCCTGGGGAGGCATGGCGGGGGAACCTCCCCCCAACGCGGCCACCCCACCGAGGAGGGGACCGTGGGGAGGAGGGGCCAGGCCCCCCAACGCCACCCCGAGGCTTGTGGCCTGGGAAAGCAGTTGAGGA